AAATTCATTATAAGGAAAGCCAACGGAAATATAACGCGTGATATCCTATCGATTTTGGAGACACTATTCAATTGAAGTGAAACAGACTGACGACGACGTGATTTCTTTCGGGAGAATGTGTTTCTAATTGAGGCACGAATTGAAGACAATCGACTCATTTGTCTCTCATCTCTCTCTCGTGCAGTTGTCGCCGACCACTGTCTCTCCAAATGATCACTACATCTGAAAGTGCTTGTCGTTGGCTCTTGTAAGTCATAGTCGTATTCGTATGGCTCTTGAGGTGCTGACATTTGCGATGATGAACCCGAAGACATGGCATCCGTGTTATCATCCCTTTTCAGGACAATTACCCCTCGATCTCGTTCTGTCGAATAGATCTCACTTTGTTGTCGATGAAACTGTGGACACATTATTATCATTACAAAAGTGACTCCTATTTGTATAACTTATTCATCGATTCTGTAGAATTCTGTATTCATTTCACATTAAATGCTTTCATTTCACTATAAATTGTATTCAATTTTAATTAAACTGTATTTTCATGGCCTCTAATGCATTGAATGTATTCTAAGAAATGTTTTCGTTTAGGTATAAAATCTTATGGTTTTGTTTTCATTGAATACAACATGTGTTCAAAATGACATTAANCTATAAATTGTATTCAATTTTAATTAAACTGTATTTTCATGGCCTCTAATGCATTGAATGTATTCTAAGAAATGTTTTCGTTTAGGTATAAAATCTTATGGTTTTGTTTTCATTGAATACAACATGTGTTCAAAATGACATTAACTCTGATTTAATGTATGGGAAAGTGTGGTAAAGTGTGGTAAAGTGTCGAGTATTAGACTTACAACCACTGGACTCTCTTTATGAGAGAAGTCTCTGACTCTATGAATGCAATCGTTATCCTTAGTCTCGTCCCTCACATCACGTCTACCTTTGCTGGTCTCAGCCCCGAGTCCAGTGGTCCTAACGTTGGTCACAGAGTGAGCCCCGTCTTCATAGCCGTCATAATCTTCGTACTCCTCATCACTCGAGAAGTAGTCATCCATTTCCGGACTGTTGTTCAGTTGCATGAAAGAAGTGGGAGAGAAGTAATACTCACCCGAACCTGATATATGAGTGGACTTTTGGGTGAATAGGTTTGCATTGAAGAGAACAACAGAATAAATACCAATTTTCGTGAAGAAGTGGACAAAACCAAACTCCAGTATTGTGGCAGAAATGAACGCAAAGCTTATGTATACGAAATAGTCGAGTGCTGTTAGGCTTAACATAAGATTTTGTAATCAATCTTTCATTTGATTGTCTGATAAACAGATAAACACTTAAGAGATAAGTCATTCAAATGTAATCATTGAATGCAAGACAATGATGTGATATAAGTTACATAATATACAATGCATATTGTTCAAAGTTATACATACTATGGGACTTTTGGTAAGTCATTACGCAATTCCAAAGACATGAAGGTCATCGTGAGCACCGTGGTCAACCCTTTCGATTGTTAAACACTTTTGAATAGAGTCATATGAATTTAGTGTCAGTCATACCTAGCGTAATTCTGTCGGCTAATTGTAGTCAAATTATTATTAGTAGAAATTTATTAAATTCATTAGAAATCAATAAGTGCTCACCCGTTGCCTCTCTGTTAATCCAAAAACTAAAAATAAAGCAAAATTGAGTAAAATGAAAATGAATTAATTTAATAAAATGCATACCTGACCCATGAGAGCACGACCAACATAATACACGGGGCATACACTTCAATGACAAACGATCCCATATGCCTCTGGAAGTGAAAACTGGCCAAAAGTATAGAATATGGTCCGTCTGTTCGACAGCAATGAATAAGTCTTATATTTGAGGCATACTTTACACAAATTTCAATTTCAGAGTAGCAGTCAATTTGTAAACCTTTGCGCTCATCATTAGTCTTATTGCCGACGGGAACAGCTATGAGATCAAACTGAGACATCTTCATATCAGGATTAATAACCACTTTTCGCGCCGGATTCCAACTATAGACCACTTCCTCCATTGAATAGCCAACTGTTTTAGTAATTTAATAAATAATACATCTATTTATGTGAAAATTGGAGTACAATTAGGGGACTTACAGCTTCCTAGTGCTAGTGGACATCTCTGTTGGATATAAATAAAGCAAATCTTAATAAATATATATTTTATTAAATCTATAGATCTATATCTATATATAAATCTATAAATCTAGAGTATACCTGAGTATCCATCGGAAAATTGGCCAAGTTCATTGGACAGTTGGCTGTGATTGTCATTCTTTGCAATTATATGGAAAATGATTGTAATGATATACAAATAAACATATTGTAATGAATGAATACCTGGATGAATACAATACTTTGCCATCTGAATAGATACGGACAAACTTATTGGGGAGAGTAATGACGTGCATATGTGACTGACGGGAGTTGAGGAAGTATGTGGGCGGCTGTCAACCCAATCCCATACCAAACAGTTTTAGTTTCATTTACTATAAGTGCTCTCACAGTCAGTCATCAAAACTTTTTATACAGACATCTAATTCTTATGACAACACAGTCTATGATACTGTACTCCTTAATCAAGAATATTCTTGTAATGCCTGTGCAGGTGAGCAGTACTCAGGCATTATATGAGTGATTATAGTATAATCATTATTCTGTATGATTATTCTGTATCATTATTAAGTTGTTAAGAGACATATGGCAAAGCAATAATTGAATAACTCATCAGAATCTATATATTCACTACAAATGGCAAGAATTCATTTCAGTTTTGATTGTTTACTCTATATTTCAATTTAAATATCTTTTTTCCAATTCAATACATTTGCAAACATTCATTGAATTTCAATTTTTTAAAAAGCATTGAATTTTTGAGATAATTTTTATGAAATATCTTTTAAAAAAGAAAATATTTCACAAGAAGTATATGAAAGGAAATGTCTTATAAATAAATATTTAATATAATGTTTGAACAGATAATGGTTGAAATTTATTTGCCGATTGAATCTCTGAATTGTGTGCAAAAGTGATTCAGACGTATCATAACTTAAGTGTTGTGGTTATGAATACTTATGAAATGATGGATTGATTGAATCGGTGCTTACTTTCCAAATCTTGTCCAACATATATATGGAAAGGGCTAATGCGGGGGGACTTAGTGTTTGGTTGGCATTCATTTCCATCAAAGACCTGGTCTTATATGAAAGCCGTGTATCAGTCCAAGTCTGACGAAAATAACAGTCCATTACGTATGTCTAAAGTGATTGCAATCAAAGTTTACACAATCAATAAAACTGAATAAACTTTACAAATAAAATATTGAGTCCATATAGTTATGCAGACATAGTATACGGTACAGCACATCAACACATAGACACAAACAGCACATATCATACCATATCTATCTCAGAGATTGGACCCATACTTCTCACATGAAAATCAATAAAAACTTGTGTCGGCGGACCTTAAGTTAAGAAAATCGATTATTATCTCTATTTTAGGCTTAATTTCATTTACAGTAGTTATAAATAACGCAAAGTATTAATAGTTTGGTTATAAATTTATATTTAAGAAATGAATATAAATTAGATCATTTATTATTTGATTATAAGTATAATTGAACATTTATTTTCATTGTAATTCATAAACAAGGCATATGATATGATTTCTACTGTGTATACCGGTGTTTCTATATTGTGCTCATTACCTATGGTTTGCTTTTTCCAAAACTCTTATTTCATATTTTGGTTTGAAAGCAATCAATCAATACATTTAGAAAGTGAGTGAAAAGTACGGTAAATGATTTTGTTATTCTTAGGATTTACTGTATTTCACAAATATTGGTAAAACATATTGCATTTAATATTAATATTAATACCAAAAAAGTGCTGATTTGCAGGTATTGAGTATGATTTGAGTCTTTAAATTGAATGCAGACATTAGGATATGAGGTTTAAGTCATATTATTGTAGAGATTTTCTATTCAAAAGCATCTTTATTTGTGAATTGCATTGTAAGCACTTATCGTACAAAATGTCAATTTAAAAGTGGTTTTTTGCATCAAAATATGTTATTTAAATATAATGTTTAGACAACTATAATATCACACACGAAAGTATAATTTTATTATTTTTATGGAAAGTCAAGTTAATATTAAAATATAAAGCATTTTTAGTTTGATATTGGATTTACAAAGCAATCCAATGAGAACTTCACTTTCCCTACAGTATTAAGTTATATGTATAATATAAGTGTAGTATGTATAGTGTACGTACAGTATATTGTTAGTTATTAAGACATTAGAAATCTAATCAGCATTTCCATTGAATACAAGTATTTCTATCATTCATTCAAACAATAATCTGATGAGAGATTACTAAAGAGTAATGAAATGAACGGATTCTTTGATAATATCTAAACAATATTTAGAATTAGAGACAAATTCTTTAGGACTATAAATGACTACAAATCGGGTTATAATATAATAAACAATAAACAGATCACTAATAATGTCAAACAAATGGGTTGGATTGAAATGACAGAGACAAACTTTTTGATAAAACACTCATCACTTCAATACGTATAGAATATAGTGTCATAACAAGTATTAGTAGTTTTTGTCATTTGTGAACAAACAATATAATACAGTATTTGATAAGAAACCCCTCAAAGCAATGGATACTTAATTTGAGAGGTTTAGAGAACTGCAAATCCACATAATTTTGGTATTCATTAATACATAGCTAACAGCAATATTATTGTATATATTGTATAAAATAAAGGTTTGAATCAAAAATTTTTGGTTTCTTTTGCTGTGTTTCTAACAATAAAATAGAAATGTTTTGTTTGAAAAGATTTCGCTTATGTCTTGCATTGCATATCAGAAATATTTGTAAAATATATGTTTTATTAAATTGATATTTATATTCAATAAGCTTTTATTAATTTGCTTTGAATTTCAATTATTTAAGTTCTCAACAAAAGTGTAATTAATTAAATGAATAACTTGAAGACTTACCCCCAAAGTCGGGTCTAATGTGATTGTCATAACCGAGTAGTATTTGATCCAAAAGGTCAGAGATATTAATATTTTGACTTCTGGCCAATTCTCCCGAAACATCGGCTCTTATTCGGTCCAAACTATTGTTATATTCAATACTTTGTCTCAAAATGTCAAATACTGTACTATACCTGGTCTGAACCCTCTCTGACCATACAGTCAATGCTATGAAACCAATAAGTGTGCTCAACATGTACTCTCACCTAATCCTATATGATCTACAATTCAATAAGAATTTTATTTAAAAATATAAATATTTAAGTTATATTCAATTTCTAAATTAACCTAACCTAGGTCTCATCAGAGTCATTTAAAGAATTATTTGTTATAAATTACATTAAATGTTCTTAGAATATTATTCAGAAAGTTATGTTTTAAATCTGTGTGTATTTAATAATGCCCTATATATTGCTAATCATAAAAAAATTGCATAATAGAGTATTTTAAAGTTATAAAAATTAAAATTATAAGTTTGTATATTATTCGTAATAGTGTTACTGTATGTTTAAAAATACTATTGAATACAACTTAAAAATAAAAGAGGACTTAAATTGATAGAAAAACTTAATTAAAAGATCATCTGAATATAAAGTTTAATTAAATTTTTATAAAATACAAAAGCATGGAAATGACTGATTTGAATGCAAGTACTTATTCAAAGGGATCTATGAATATATGATTTTATAGTAGAATTGAGAAAATTGGTTATGAATTTGAATACGGAGTGAACGAAAGGGTATTACTTTATGATAAGACTTACAAATAAACACTTGAATAACAATTTGCGCTAAACTTAGAGAAACAGGCAATTGAGTAGAGCTTCAGAAAACTGTGTTTGAGAGACACTATGACTACGATTTGAGGGAAAAACTGATTAACTTATGTATGAAAATACAGTTGTCATAATCATTACTTATGTATAATTTCGGTATTCTTATCTTAAGTGAATTAAATTATAAGTAAGTACGTAAGTTAAATGCTTTAATTGAGGTTTAGGAAAAGTACTTTGGCAATCAGCTTTTAATTTTATAGTTTTTTATTAACTATTTTATTGTAATGACAGACAAATATCAACCGCTTTTTAATTGAATACTATTATTGGTTTTACCGTTCAAATTAACTTATAAGTTAAATGCACTTATAATTAATGTTATTTTAAACACTCACTGGTAACCAGATTCTGTGCTCAAATAATTTTCTGTTATTAATTATAATACTAACGGTAGTTTTTGTAGTTTTACGAAAGTTTATTTAAATAATTTAAGATTAATATTTCTTGTTTGAAAATTGAATTTAAAGAATTAACCGTATTTTGTATTAATTAACGATAAAAAATTCAAATGGCATATAAACTTATGCAAACTACGAAATACTGTACAGGTATTGTCAAAATGTACTGTATACTTTATCCTATTTCATTGAATTTAAAAGTTTAACTAAAATATTCAATATTTACTTATATTTTATATATGAGAATATAACGAATATAATCTCTCATATAAGGCATTACTATTCAATGTAATTAAATATGTCTTAAATATTTAGCCCAAAGCTATGTTTATTTTTTTACATAACTTAACTGTAAACCTACTGTTGTTTGTTTTCAACAAAATTGTTTAAATTTTAGAATCTTTAAAGATTATAAAGAATCTTTACAAACGTATTTTGCAGTTTTAAATAATTTATAAGATAAACATTATAAACAAGTTTAGAATAAATAATACAATAAATATTGGATTGACTTTAAAGATTAAACCAATAGCTTGTATGTAAACTAAAATCTGTGGAATTGTGGGTATAATTAATTGTCATTAATTAACGTTTGAAAAGCTGTCAAATAAAGCAAAGTATGGTTAACAACTTTTCTGTGAGTACAAATCCTTCTTAAACAAAATACAGGACTGAAAGTACGTTAGTAAGAGATATTATCGGTAATTTTATGGTGTTTTATATGAAATAAAGTTTTCATAGACTTTAGAATAGAAATGGACATTTTTGAAAGATAAGGGATTTGAATTGTGTCCAAACATTGCGTGATTTTCAACTATCAATTATTTCTAACATATTTGTCCATTTGTTTGTGATTTTAAAAAATTCATTCAAAAAATAAAATTGTTAGCACATCATAATGCTTACATTTACGGTATTAATAATATAATTTACATAATTTATAAAAATTAAAAAGCATAGCAAGAAATACTAGCATGAAATAATACCTTAAAATAGAAAAGCTACAAAAATAATAAGTATGAAATAGATTAGTTTTGAAAATATTGGAAAATATACAGGAATAAATTATTGTTAAACTTCTGGTCAATAAACAAAATACTTTATTTTACATAAAATAAAACTTTGAAACACAGAATAAATCGAAAGTTTATTGCATTTATTAATGAAAGAATTACTTTCAAATATATTTCAATACAAAAAAATTTGAAAAGAATTTAAATTTAATATAAAGTCCAGAATTTGAGAATTTCTAGAAAATAATTTCTACTTCATATTTATTTAATACAAGTTATGCAGTGATTGATAAATATCCAAAATGATGGCAAAATCATCAGAATAAGTGCTTTTTATATTCATTACATTTTGATGAATCATTGGATTAAATAACCACTTATTTGATCACTTTTTTGCAACCATTGAATCAATTCTTTATCAAAGTTTTCAATGTAAATGTAAATATAATATTAATTTATTGAAAACTTCACTAATCAACAAATTTGTCATAGGAATTCATAAAATAAGTTGTATACAAATTAAATTAGCCTATAAAAATAATGGTCAGTCTATTGGTTGCTATATTAGACTAACTATAAGAATATGTTTTATCAAACATATGGCATATAAAAGACGAAAATTATTATATACGAGACTATTCTAAGAGCTATTGCTTTATATACTGTATACAGTGTACAGTAATTCTATAACTAGAGGTTAGAAAATAATTACTTTTATGTGATAAGCCTTATAACAAAAGGGCTGAAGTATTCATTTTCATCTAATTGAGATTCTGTATACTTTATAATAGACTAAATAAAACGGATCAAATTATAATCTTTAAGTTTATTAAACTTTTCTGTATGCTTAATGAATAAAAGCTAATTTATTTAAAAATATACTGTATTTATAATATATTATATAATACTTTGAAAGCATTTCGAAATAATTTGCAAATACAAAAACAATTTAATGTTTAAAATCCGATTAAACGGATGAAATATTTTTATTAATCAATGAAACAATATTTTTAATATAAAAAGTAGAATTGATAAAAAGTTATTATAAATTTATTTATAATATTCACTAATCTATAAATAACTTACTGAATATATGAACTACGAATTAAATAATAAATTTTTTAATTATTAGAAATACATCAAATGTTTATTTGATAACAAAAATCCTTAATTTGAAAATACATTGAAAACTTATCGACAGAAAACATTGCCATAGAAAACAATAAATTGTTAGAGAAAATATGATAATTAATTAATTAAAGACTAGCGCTTCGCATATAAATACAAACCTATCAGAGATTGAATCCACGAAAACTTCAAATCATTTAATTAGAGATAATTTTCAATTTAAAAAACTTTTATACAAACAAATGACAAAATATGA